GTCCCCCCCACCCACCCCCCGGCCCTCCTGGCCAACTGCCTCTCTCCCTCCCTCCCTCTCTCCGGACTCCTCTTTCCCCTGGCGTTCTCGGAAAAAGGGGGAAAATTTGTTTTAAAGTTGCAGAACCAAAGGCGGCTGGAAAGAGAGAGAAGGGGGGTGGGGGGGAAGAAAGAAAAAAAAAAAGACAACTTTGCCTATGCGCATGCGTGGTGAGGCCGGCCTATGACAGACTCCGCAGGATTTTAAAGCCGTACTACGGGCTGGGGTGCTGGGAGGAGGAGTACACCCCCCCCTTGGGCCCCCTTCTCTAGGTTCCCCATCCCCCAGGCATCTGCTGAAAGAGAGAGGGCCACTCTGAAGCCTCTGCCTGCCCGCCGCCTGGCTGCTTGCGCTCCTTCCAAAACCGCCCACCCGCGCGAGGCCGAACCCCAACTTTCCAGGCTGGACCCCTTGGCTCGCCTATCCCAGTTCCTTCCCACCCGGGCTCCACGGAGACTGCTGCCCTGACGTGGACCTTTGTGGGAGATCTCATTCTCGCCCCGGGGCTGGAGTATAGGGTAGGCGCGCACATTTTACAGTGTCCCGGGTCTACTTAGGGGTTGGGGTACTGGGGTGCACGACTGCTTGTCTGGCTCCGACCCAGGGCATCCAGGCTTCACGCGTGGTCCTTCCGCGTGGATGTTGGCGAGCGCCTGCAGGTGAGAAAACCGCGAAGTTCTGCAAAACCGGGTTCCGGGCACCGGAACTTCTAGACACTTCCAGATGCTGGTGGTTGTTGGAACTCCGAAGGGGTGGAATTGGTGGTTGTGTGCCTCCCCCCATCTCAAGCCTGCCAGGTGCGCCACCCCCAAAGCGTGCCTCACACTAGAGCGGAATTCTCCGCGGTCCCCATCCTCCAGTCGTCAAAGGTGGAACACACACACACACACACACACACACACACACCACTCACACTTCACCTTCTAACATCCATCCGCATGCACTTGACCTGAAGGCGCAAAATTCGAGGCCTGGGTACTTCGAAGTGGTCGATGCTTTGTTCCTCCGCATTCCCCACCTCCAACCCCCACTACCCACCCAGAACGCTCAAGCCCAGACTCCAGCGACATTATCCCACCTCCTTCCTTGTCCCACCTGACTGGACTCTTCTCCAGCCCTGGCCTCTGTCGCGGGGAGGGCAGGCCAAAAAAGGCATGTGAGTGTCCCACAAACTGTAAGAGAGGGTTGCCTGTCTGGCCTCCTTTCTGGAAGGATGCATGAGACCTTCAGGAGGGGGAGCCCAAGCTTCTCAAAACTCCCCTTGGGACATCTCTTCACTCCTGAGCCTCCTTTCCCTTAACTTCCTGTAGGCCTTAGCCACTTAGCGCCCCATGGGTGTTTTACAATTTTCCAATCAAGCAAGAGGTCTGTCCTGTCCACTGAAGGGAGAGTCTAAAAGAGGGGGGTCTCCTGGCAGGGCACACCCCCTGGATGGAGTCCCTCCCACCCTTCCCTCTGCCTGGCTTTTTGGGTCATTGGCTGCAGCTTGAGATTCCCAGACACAAGGGTACATATGCCCCCTTGTCTCCCTCCTACTGTCTGAATTCCCCCAGTTTCCCTCCACCCCTGCAGACACCCCAATGCACCCAGCAGGCTACTTCTCCAACAAAGCTCAGGCAGGTCTCTGCTGAGAAGGGACGGGAAGTGAGTTGACTGTGAATGAGGTTCCCAAAGGCATGGACGCCACCTGGCACTGACCGGCCAGGAATCCCCAGGAAGTTCACTTACAGGGGCCTTTTCTATGAGAAGAAGGGTTATTAACCTAAACATCTGTTCCACTCCTGCAGTCAATCCACAAACACTGGTGACCCAACCACAATTTTTTAGAAATGCTAGATTCTGAATTATCTGGATAATTTCTTGCTTCTCTCCAATTGCCTTTATTTGTGTAGACACAACCCCAGCTGTTCTATTTCCTGTTTTGTAGCATCTCTAGTGGAAGATGGGGGTTGGGTCATAGTTAAGAATGCCAGCCCTGGAGCCTGGAGTTCAAGTCCCTGCTCTAACAGTTTCTAGTTGTGCATCTCAGAATCCTCTCACACACATGCACCCACGCAGGCACAAACACACACACCACCACAATAACAAAACGGAGCACGCACTGCCTGGACGGCATTGGGAAGGGAAGACATGATATGGAAAATGAGGGGAGTGGCAAGAATGAGCTTTGATGACCGTGGGTGCGCTGTGCACAGACCAGGCACACACCTGGCACTCAATGCTTGCTGTTTTGGAAAAAGCAGCTCTGAAAACAGAGGTCTGCAAACTTCTTTGGTGGCCACGTGGACCCCACAGGACGGCATCGTTAATAGTCTTGATTTATTTCATTTGCAGTGAATGGTCACATTTTTTACTGAAGAAATATGAACGATTTTGATGACTGGGTACTTCCCCAGAACTCACTGGGGCTCTTTGCAAACTAATAGTCACATACCCCGCTTTATCTTTCAACAAAAAACTGAATGCATTTCCACCAGCCCTATCTGGTCCCAGTGACTTCAGATAAAGGGTTATGTATGGTTTTTATCTGACAATATTAATAATGGGTGCGTTGAGTTTACGCCCCAGGACCGATGAGCTGTGTATCAGCAGGACCACCTCTGTGTTTCTCGTGGCTGTAATTCCAGTACTGACAACAGTGCCTGGCAGCTAGTAGGTGCTCCTTAAGAACCAAAGGAATGGGTGAAAGAGTTATTTCAGAGGAGGCTGTCATGGGAAACCAACTGGAAACCCCTTTTGAGCCTTCAGTGAGAGACTGCCCTGGAAAACCAGGCTCTGTTCTGACACGAATGGAAGAACAAGTCCCACTGTGAGCATGGGTTGGTTTATCTGGGAACTGAGCAGGCAGTGGGAAGGAGAGAAGTCTGAGACTCTCCATCAGCAAAGATTCCTGTCCAATAGGCCTCCCTTTAGCGGAACTCCATGTCTTCCCCCTTGCAAACTGTGGCTGCATCTGGGTGGGTGTGCTCGGATTGAGTCATCTGAAGCTATGCTGGCAAGGCATTGCCCCTGCTCCACTCACTACAAATGCTTTGGAGTCTCAAGAACAAATAAATCAATATTTTTGGCTCCTCTCCCAACAGGGTTATTTCACAAAGCAGAGTGCAAGATCAGGAATTTGTGAACGATTGCACCCCTGTGCCGCCTTTCCCAGCGGGAGAAAGCAGGGCCTGGGTTGTCATTCTGGGAAAATCTACCCACTTTTATGCCCAGCAAATAATATTTTATGGCCCTGGGTTTATGGTGGTGTTTTAATGATCTGCTGTAGAAAGCGGGTTTTCTCTCCAGTCACTAGAATTTGTCAAGAGGGCTGGAGACCATAAAAGAGGGACGGCCCGGGGGACAAACAGGCTCCATCTTCTGAAATAAACCAATAAAGGGCCCCGAGATGTTTACTTCTTCACCTCACAGTCAAGACCGGCAGGACTGCAGGAGAGGGGCCTGCAGATGGGGCATTAAACAGGACAAAGAGGCCGGAAAGGGGCTGGGGGCTTCCTTCCCACCACATGGCCACAGTCAAAGTAATACCATCATATTGTGTTGTCACTAGGCACTGGCCTGTAGGGGACAAAAGCTCCCTTGGGAGAGGACGTTTTTGGACTCTGGGCTGCCTTAGAAAGGCTCCTTGAGAATCTCCAGGTCTCCCCGCAAGGGGACTGATTATGTGTCCTCCCAACTTGGAAACCTCCTTTATTTTGTAGACAATGGTGCTTGGGAGAAGGGTGCTAAATGGATGCTTTAATTTTGTTTTACGGGACAGCAGGTCAGAGCGATGTGGGTTTGAATCCCAGCTCTGCCTCTTGCTGACTGAGTGATCTTACAGTTTTCACTCAGACTTTAAAGGACCAGTTTTCTCACCTATAAAGTGGAGATAAAAAAGAAACAGATGAGGTTGTTCTAGCAATTAGGATCATGTATAAAGCACCTAGGTCTTGGGGCCAGCAGGTGTTTGGTGATTAAGGCACCTGGACTCCCACATGTTCCACTGCAGTTCGAGTTCTGGATCCAGAAGCCTGTAACTCACATTGGGCGCATGCATGTGCATGCCCAAAATCCCAGAGGGAGAATGGAGGTGAAGAGATTGTGGCATGGCCCCCCCCCTACCCCTGGGGGAGTGATTTCTCGCTTTCAGTCTCTGTTTCTCCGGCGAGTACATGCACCCTATAGCAAAAATCTCTCAAACACAAACAAAACAAACAACACCTAGGTCCAGCCTCTGTTCATGGCAATAACTCGATGAATGGAAGCTACTGTGATTATCTCAACACTGGAAATGTCTGTTGCTGGGTCCCTGGGTGAAATCCTGATGCAAAGGAGGGGCCGAAGGAGGGCCGGGGTACAGAAAGGAGAGAAATGGGGCAGGCGATGACACGATAGCTGCCATGTCTATGTGATGGACTTCCACAGGGATGGAGCAGGTGGGTGCTGAGATGGTCGGAGCGAAGGATGACGTGATCAGCACCTACCGAGCTCTTACCACGTGCCCTGGCCAGCCCCGTCTATGCCCCTTCCATCCGCTGCCCGTTTCAACCTCAATACTTCATGAGGCAGGTCCTGTTTCTAGCTGCACGTTAGGGAGGAAAGGGAAGGTTCAAAGCAATCACAGCACCACTAAATCCAAGCTGATTGAGTGGGGCAGAGATTGTGAGTTCTCCAACAGCTGATTTGCTCTTTTTCTTTTTGAAAATTTGTTAGAGGGCACGTATGCACTTGCTGGAGACAGAGAAAGAGAGAGAACGGAAGTGAGAAAATACCCCCTCCCCATGGGAAATGGTCACGCCACAATCCCTTCTCCTCCATATCACTCTCCTGTCAGGATCTTGGGCACACACACGAGTGCCTGG